AGATAGATAGATAGATAGATAGATAGATAGATAGATAGATAGATAGATAGATAGATAGATAGGCAGGCAGGCAGGCAGGCAGGCAGGCACGGTAGATAGATATCAATAGAGATAGATATTATTTCAGTAGTATTACTTATTAAATGTACTGTAGGTGAATCACAAAATAAAAGCATTACAAAATACAAGCAAGGAGCAAAAAGATAGCAAAACTGAGCAACGTTACTCAGAAGGAACTTCAAATACCCTAGCCAAAAGTCTGAACCCTCTGAAACCTCAATAAAATAGGAGTCATCGGTGGTGATAGATGTTAAAATGAAATTGGGTAAGATCATTGTTGCTCAGGGCTCACCAGTGAATGTAATGGTTAACATAAACATCAACTGACAATTTTTGCAATTGAACAAATCAATAATTCAGTGTCTCATGCTTTAAAAGGTATAAGGATTAGTAAAGATACACAAAATATACCCATATTCTGAAGTTTTAATTGTGCTTACAGCTTTTTTGGGGGTGGGGTCGTCAATGAATAGCTTTGCTTTACAATATTTGTTCCATTTAATGCATAAAGGTAGTTGAATTTCACGGATACCAGGTGAAAGGCTCAGCAGCTAGTAAGATGATGACAAGAAAAGGCTGTTTGTATCACAGAAAAGATCCACAAAGTGACATGACCAAATCTGAAAGTGCTTCAAAGGATGCATTTTTTTTCTTAGCGCAAGAACTGAACTGTCCTGGGGTGCCTGAATTTGTTAAGGTAAGATTTTTAAATGTACACATTTTTAAATCTATAAACATACTCTAAAAAAGTCAGTGTTATAAGGATTTAAAATACTGCTGTATATAAAAGGAATAATCATCACTATCAACAAATTCATAGGATACGATATTGCTTCTAAGGATCAGATAGTTTAATCCCTTTCATGGGGGGGGGGATCTTTATAAATATTTTATGCTACCTAAATTTTTAGGAGGAATTACTGAGGCTCCTGTTTAGTGCCCTTGTTTTCTCTATTAATTTTTTATCAAGCTAATATACAGCAACTAATGCCCAGAATTAATCCAAAAATCGGTGTTACCCTGGAATGCATTAAATGTGTTTATTGGGGTGGGGGGTATTTATCCTCAGTCTCTAGGTTCAGAAGATGATCTCAGTAACAGCGGAACCAAAACGTTTAGAAATGAATTCAATGTTTTTGAAGAAAAAGGCAGTAATAAATTTTGTAAGTGGCTATTAATATGAACAATTAGTGACCAAAATGTAGCATTACTCTTCAATATTTTGTGTATTTCTTCCTCTTAATAGCAACAAAGACAGCATCTTTTAAACCTCCCAGTCAGATTGTGACAAATTCTTCAAATCTAGACTTCGCAGAATCTGCTTCGGGGGAATTTAATAAGGTAATGATTAGGTGGCTCATTTTGTTTTACCATTATTCTGGTCAACCAAAAAGTTACTATCACAGAGCTGCCTTAATTCTAGATACTGCAAAGGCTTTATCCCATTAGGATCATATACTGTCCATGAATATTAAAATGTTTTTCTTCTCATTTTTTTTGAATAACATAATACTCTTCAAAAGTATCTTTTTCTCCCTTTTCTTTCTTAAAGGGTATTTCTCTAGAAAAGGAGTGTGTGTGTGTGTGTATCTACACACATACGTATGCATATGCATATGCAGTAATGTTAAGAACACTGTTATGTACATCTGTTACTAATTTTGAATTAGAATTTATTTAGATACTAAGTGAATATTAAAGTTCAGTTCATTGTTTTCTGTAAAATATGGGAATAAATGCTTACAGATGTAGATATTTGTATCTATTTGTAACTATGTATTTTTGCTTTTTTACATTCCTTCTGTTCAGCTGTTGTCAAAACAATGGGTTTCTTCACAGACTACTGGCTGTCACTTTTTCCCAACTCCAAATAGTAAAGAAACAATAGAAGAGCAGGAATTGCTGATATCCAAAACTTATCCAGACTTGTATATGGATAATAAAAAACCCTTTTTCAGTAAGAAAGGTTTGATTGTTGATGATATAAATAATGGTTGTGCCAGATTTTTTGGAATGTTCCAGTTAGTGTTTGAGCATTCTTAATCTAGTTTGATCACTAACAAATAATTCATATTTTAAAAAATGTTGCTGAAATTTCCCCCACCCCTGCCTATTTGCCAGGGGTCATGATTTTTCTGCTCATAAAAAGGAACTTCTCTGTCTCCTAATCTCTGAGTGCAATTTTTCATTTATGAGTTATTTTTTTATACATGAACCAAATAAAGTTATTCAATCTCTACCTATCACATTTCAGTTATTTTCTAATTATGAAATAAGTATTAAAAATCAGTATTAAGAAATGGAGACATTGCAAACTGTTTTGATGTCTTCCCAATTTATAATACAATTGTTTTTATTTAGAGGTATAGCTAGATTAATAAAAGTAGCTAGGAACTAAATTTGACTTTCAAATAACAGAAAGACACACTCTTATTATTTATTCTTATGAAAATTTCTCCTGTACTTTAAAGCTTAAACTGTATTAGTTTTGAAGGATATAGCAGTTCCAAATTTTCAAGAGTATATACGTATAACCAAAGTTTTAATATGCTTTTCTTTAACAAACTCATTAGTGTAGTTTTATTGTAACCTTCTAGTAAGAAATACATTGTGCTGTATTAATAATGACTGCCATTGAAGTTTTTGCTTCTGAAAATATTTAGGGAAAGGCAGTCCATTCCAAAAAAACCATACTAATATTAATGCTTTTGCTATACTATCAACAGAATTTTGTTTTCAAGTGTCTGCATACTGTACCTTGTTTTATAGGAATGTATCCAGAAAATGATATGTCTATCCTCTTACCTACTCTTGGAACACAAACTCCAGTTGTTCCTGGACTTATAGATAATCTACTTTCTGATTTCCAGCTTTATTCCAGTGCAAAAATCTGCAAACAGATTGATCATCATTGTGGTTTTTCAGTGGTCAATACATATGACAAATCAGAAATGTTAGAGCCTGAGGACAGGATGTGTAATTTTTTTGTGGGTGAAAAGTACATAGGAGTAAGAGACAAGATAGCCGTACAGAGTACACTGCCTAATGTGTCTGAACAAAAGGAACAAAGCAAATGGCAGAAATACCACAACATAACTGGTTGTGATTTGAGATCTCAAAATTGCAACGAAGTGGCCATGGCTTCTGATATCAAAGCAGAGAGTTGTTTAGGAATGTCATTAGAATACAGAAGAGAGAATCAGAGTAATGTCATCTATAAAAGCCCTCTGGACTCTGAGCATCTGGAGACAATAAAAAGCATGCTTTGTAAACAGCAGCAAAACTTTATCACTCAAGATTCTGTTTCAGAAAGAAAGAAACTTTCCCTGCACTTAAATCAACACTTTTGCACTGAGGAAGTTCTAAGTGAGTTAGGTCACCTGAGTTTCCCCAATAAAACCAGAGATAGAAAGGTATGTAATTGTTCCCAATGTAAAGAAATGCTGTTAAATATTGTACATCATGTGTACATGCAGATTAGTTTTGTTGTATGAGCCTAATGTTTTCTCACCGTTTTTAACAAGGTTTTCAGGAATAGTGTGTTAACAGGTTTCAAAATATTTAAGTTTGATAATTTCATAATCATAGTTTATCAAATGAAGATATGTACAGTTTTTACTTATTCATGAAACCATGACTCCTCCTTTTGCTGCAAACTGTGGTAATGCAAGGAATTTAATTAACCATAAAGTCTTACGGCAAACTTCAGAACAAGCCTGCATCTTCAGACATTCTTTTAAGTCCTTAGATGATTTTTATGAAAAGTCAAATTCCAAAATTATACAAAACAATATACATTCTGGAGACAGGATATTTCCAGATTATCTAAGATTACAATTTAGGCACTCAAATAGATGAATACCCAGTAGGATATGTGGTCATAAAAAAATGGAAGAATAGACATAGCTTTAATAAATGCTATATTCAGTGGTCTTAAATATGGGTAATCTGTGCATATGAGATTAGAAAAATGGAAATAGGAATTTGTTTATTTTGTTTTACAGGACACTTCTGAACTGCATTTCCCTAGGGTGGATATGGTAAAGAATACTAATGTACCTAAACGACAACAACGCATCCCAGTTGAATTTCAGTCTCCAGCACATTATAAGAAAGTTTTTACTATTGCATTGATAGGTATGGTCCAACTTCTCATTTTACTGGTAGTACTAGTACTCAAAATTAATAAATGGTTTTAAAAATGCATTGAGTCAAGATTTTTAATTAGACTTCTCAAGAAGTCAAATTTTATAGGACCAGTGAGATTTCTAGCCATTTGCCTTTCTGCTTTATACAAAGCTATTATAGTTTCCAAAAGAAAAAAAACAAATACTAATTCTCATCCTGTCTCTTATTTCCAAAGTCAATTAGTACCTTTCATTTCCTTTTGTTGACATCATAGGAATCGTGTATCGCCCATGTTTAGCACTAAAATGCTTGACATATTTCTTTTTTTAATGAATGAAAGTGAAATTAAGAAATCCTTAGTTTTAAAGTTTTAATTTAGTTTTTTCTCCTTCTAGAGACATTATTAAACTGGAAAAGTAGGAAGTTGACTCAAGCAATTCAATATTACTTAATATGAATGGCATATTAACATGCATGTTTTCTCACTGTCTAATTGCAAAACATTTCATATTTCCTATTTTTATGAAAAGAACATTTAAACATATTATTATTTGAACTATCAAAAAACCTACATAAAGCTCTTGGGAAAGTGGATATATCTTTCTATTCATCGGTGAAAGAAGGGCAACGAGAGAATTCTGCACCTCTCTGCAGCCACAAAATAGCAGCAAAGCTTGTTATGGTTAGAAAAGAAGGCCGAAATAAGGTATGTTGTTAGAGGCTAATTAAAACACATTATTGGGATTTTTTTGAAACCATAGTTTTACTAGGATATCTATGAATGGCACATGCACATGAATTGTATGATGTACATATTTTTGTGAAATTTCAAATTTGTGCTTGGGGAATAAAATATTTTATTATGCATTTTGTTAAAATACATACAGTAGCTGAAAAATATGGAAATTAATAACTATTACAAAATATTTAAGCATTTTAACCTTAAGCTGCTGAAACAGCTCAGCTCTGCACACTAGGGAAAGGGGAATGGCTTCCCTTTCAACAGGACCCATTTATGATATTGAATGCCAAGGACAGAATTCCTATGTATAAGTTTTGTTTTTGTAAGTATAATAATGACTGTTGGGAGGTTTTGTCCCTGTGCAATGAATACTGTTTTTTTAAACCTGGCATTTTTTAAAAAATAGAAAATAGTATGAACTATTAATAGTATGAACTAGTATGAACAAATTTAGCAGTGGGAAAAATATGTTTCTTTTAATAAATATGATGTATCAGTTCAATAATCTGATGTTATATTTAGTTACGACTTTATACTGTGACCAAAAAGCCATATAACTCAGAACCAGATTAATTGAATCAGCATCTTCCAAGAGATTTGTTATACAGTGTCACTTGACCAATAAAGTTAAGCTTTTTTTCTCCTTTCTCTCTCCCTCTCTCTCTCCCTCCCTCCCTCTCTCTTTCTCTTGAAAATAGTCAGGTTGTCCGTTAATCAGATTTATATGCACACAATTGCAGCACGCACTAACATAAATTGATTTATTGTATGGCTTGCATTTTGCTCCAGGGTCGTCTTTTCTATGCTTGTGATGCTGCTAAAGCAGATCGATGTGATTTCTTTAAGTGGCTTGAAGATGTAAAACCTGTACAGATGGAGAGTAAACCTTGTGTTATACTTCATGATATAAAGAGTATTGGAACTTACCTCAGATGTCAAAGAATTTCTATCTATGAAGAATGCCAACTTCTAATAAGGTACTGTATGTTGAAATGTTAGATATACTTCAGTAGCAGTTTATAACTGAAAGGAAGCAATGCTAATAAATAAGGAAGATAATGTCTACATTACTTAAGTTTCCTTTAGAAAGAATTATTGAAAAAGTAATTAAAAAGTAAAAAATAGTAATAATGAACCCAATATTACAAATTAATTTCTAGCAGACTAAGCAATTCTTTGGTCTTTGCCAGATTTACCACTTTCCATCAATATCTGTTACTGATACTAATATTTATAGGAATCAAGTTTATTGATTATTTTGGATAATATTAAAGCTTGTGTCTCCAGGTTTTTTTATTTTTTATTTTATTTCATGAAAATCTATGTTTAGTATTTGCTTATAAAGCAATAATATCAATTACAGGGTTCTTATGTACTTTTTTTGCAGGAAAATGTTTGATACTCAAAGAAAACTATTTGGTAAGATGAAGAGATATGATATTGCAAAGGCTAACTTTGACTGTGATTCTAAGAGGAAATTATTTCTTAAACTGAACCGGAAGGAACATTCCTCTACATATAGCAAAGGTTGGTAAATTTGAAAATCTTTGAGACTAAAGAAAATTTATGTTACATTTTGTTATATTACATTATGTTACAACATATTTATTTGTTAACTGACTCAATCTAATGACTGGTAGCATACTGCAACCAAAAATATACAAATAATAACGTAATAAATAATTTACAATATACAAGAATATGCAAGTATGAAGAAACTGTCATGCTGGAGTCAGCAGTCTGGGCACTTGTATTCTGGGCTAATCAGAGCTTCCAGGCTGTCTCCAAAGACAGCTCTATAGAGAGCACGTTACAATAGTACACCAAATCTGTGGTGATCAGGCTGTGAGTTATTGTTGCCAAGGCATCTTGGAGTAGATCCATCCAGGCATCTGTTTGGCAGAAACACAAAGTCCAGAAGGAACCCTAAGTGACACATTTCTTTGAGACTGCATGATGACTCTGGCATGCCTTCATCTCCTGGTCAACCTGTATGTGACAATTGAGCCGGGTCGTCAAAGGTGTTATTCAGCAGGTTCTTACCAGTTCTGGAGAACCGGTAGAGGAAATTTTGAGTAGTTCGGAGAATTGGCAAATACCACCTCTGACTGGCCCTGACTGGCCCTGCTCCCGAGTCCCAGCTGATTGATTGGGTCATATTTTGTTGCTCTGCACAGGAGAACGCAGCTGGAAAGCAGGTTAGTGGGGTGGGGAGGGAATGGGGTTTTGCAGTAATCTTCTCCCAGGAGTGGGATGGAAATGAAGATTTTACAGTACCCTTCCCCTGCCACGCCCACCAAGACACGGCCAAAGAACTGGTAGTAAAAAAATTTGAATCTCACCACTGCAGGTCATCTATTACAATAAAATAATTATTGTAAAAGATATAATAGATCATCAATAATCGATTGATTGATTTGAATTGATTCCTGCCCTCAAAGTAGCTAACTCAGTTCTGATGATACCAAGCTATGTGTCTTGACTCCCTGACTGACCAAATGACATTGTCACAGTTTTGTCCCAGTTCCTAATTCTGTTGTGCTCTGGATGGAAGAGGGCTAAGCCCAACACTCAGCAATGCTGAATGGCTATGGCTCCATGAACTATATGACTCTGAGGATTTTCTAATTTTAGTTCTGGATGGATTGCGCTTCCACAGACAGAACTGGTGAATAGTTTGGAGTTTTTCCTAGACTTGTAGCTCCTACTCAGAAAGTAGTTGGCAGCTGTGGCCAGGAAAGTTTTTGCATAGACTTACCTTATGCATCATTCGCACCTGTTCCCAAAGTAGGAGACCCTTTTTACAATCAGTCTGCCTTAATCACCTCATCTATGGACTATTGCAATATGTTCTCTATGGGGCTACCTTTGAAGATCACTTGGAAACTCTAGCTGGTTCAGTGTACAGCATGAGTGGTGTTAGACATATATATTTCCAAATTATTTAAAATACTCAAAATGGTGGCCTTAGAAATTGAAATTATAGGTATGTAAATAAATAAATATTCTTATATTTTTATTTAATATTTAGCTTATATAATAAAACAGCTGTGAATGATTTTTTTTCTGTTCATAATCAATTAAGTGATGTACATGATAAAATCTAAAATACCTCTCAGAGAATAGTTTTTCAAATAGCACTCTTAAGAATATGAAATTACTTAATATGAAAATAGGTATTTACCCAAAGCATTGCTGGTTAAGAGAAGGAAAAATACCAGGATTTTTTCAGCAAGAATCCATAGGAAATATAAAATGAAAATAACTTTTTTTTTTTCAAAGTTTCTGAATTGTAAAATTGATTGCTTGGTGTAACTTATGCAAATGTATGTACTTTGTTGACAGATGACCTTTGGGTTGTTTCCAAGACTTTGACCTTTGAACCACTGGACACTTTCATTGCATATAGTGTTTTTTTTGGACCATCCTCTAATAATGAAGTGGAGTTGGAGCCTCTCAATGGTTATAGCCCATCAAATTGGCGCTCAGATAGTAAGTTTCTCTTCAAAGGTTTTTTGGGGTTTTTTTTAGAATAGATTATTCAAAATATGACTAACTCTCTAATATGCCATAAAACGGAATTCTAAGAGCTTTTACTGGAAAGATTATCATTGAATTAGATCAGCTCTTTCAAAGAAAGTGGGAAACTCAGTTCAGGGCATTTGGTAAGTTGGAAAATGTAAATAGCCAAAATATTTTACTTATCCACAGGATATTTTGCTGCAACTGAAATGTGTTGCTTGAAAATTATCTTAGTTCATGGTCAGCTTGAGAAAGCTAAATATTTTCACAACTTTGATTAAACTCAAGGCATAATATATACACTTTGAAAAGCTCAGAGGGAAAGCAGAGCTAGAGTACAGGGAATGGACTGAAGTAAAACACAATTACCGGCTTTTCTTATAGAAACATTTTCATGGTATGTGAAGAGATGGGGGGAAAATCCAAATATATCTTTGTTAAACAGACAAAATTAGATCATCATAATAATAATTCAAAAACCTCTTCCGTTCCAGGTAACCACACCAGAATGAGAATTTTTAGAGGCAGGTCATTTCTGAAAAATTTTGCTTTCAGACCAAGGAAAAACAACCCTCGCTAACTAATCCACGAGTCTTGCAAACAGATTCGATTGAATCTCCCCATGTCTATTATTTACCTTTAAAACTATTGTTACAATTGATTTTGGCATGCATATTAGTGTTTTGTCCTTTTGGACCTAACTTAATATTCAATGTTTTTAGCACATTCCTCTCTAAATATCTATTTCTTATTATATTTTCTTTCTTAGTGATTGTTCATGCGTTGTTTGTGTGTAATGCTAGCACTGAACTCACAAATTTGAGAAATATACAGGAAAATGTCAGTTCAATCACTTTGCCAATCATGCAACACCTACTTACAAAGTAAGTAGTAATGCTATCTTTTAAAAACAGAAACAAATTTGTACATTCATTTATATAAATACATTTGAATTATTTGACTGGAAATATATTTTAATTCTAGTGCTAAGGTTAAATCTTATCTTTTTTTTTGTATTTTAGGAAAGAATTATTTCCAAAAACCAAAGAAAGAAAACAAAAGTTTAAACCACCAGGGCTAAGTACAAATGCAATAAAATCTGATGCATTCAGCCCAGAAATAGTTATAAATCTTGCTGATAAGATTATTCAAGCTTTCCAGCTAAATAAAGATCAGGCGACAGCAATGATGCAGATTGGTGCCATGATGACATCTCAAGAAATAAATACAGAAACAGCAAAGCATCCAACGTTTCCAATAACAATAATACATGGTAAATTATTTCATAAGAGCTTCGGGGTTTTTTTTCCTTCTCCAGTCCTGTATTCCAGAATTCCCCAATGTTTCTGGCTTTGGAAGGGAGATGGTTCCGTGTGAGGGGCCGGGAAGCATGCACGCTGTTTGTTTAAATGGAGCACACACGCTTGCTGTCCGTTTCCTCCACCCAGTTGCAAACCCCTCACAGTCCACAGGTTGGGGACCCCTGCTATATTCAGTCTATATTTTAAATGAACCAACTTCAATTTTGTCTTTCTTCTCTAAACATTTCTTTTTTTCAGGGTTTTAATTTAGATGTTTTTATTATTAGCAACCATTTATATTCAAACGTTTGAACTTTATACAGTACTAAATTCATGTTCCATCTTGCAGCTTCCCATGTACCCCAGCAAATCTTCTCTGGAAGATTTTTCCATGAGCATATTTGGGATATGCAAAAGCCTGCAATGGGGAGGAAACTAAGAATTTTATTTAGGAGGTTTTATACTGAATAGGTTTTCTGTGCAATCTACTTCAATATCCACTGACCTGCAGGTTAAATGGAAAGATATGTCTTACCTACACAATTAGGAAAGAATATTATCAAAATCTTCTCACTATTCTAGCATAAATTTCAGGCTTAATAGCAGCTATAAGTCAAGGACTACCTATATTTGCAATCATAGCATTAGTCAGCTTTCTACTCTAATTCCAATATTACTTTTCAATTAATTAGATGCAATTAATATATTGTATATACAGCTAAGAATGCTTGATGTTTTCTCATGATGAATGTTTGATTTCTCTAACCCGTTAATGTTCTGTCCAGTTTCAAAGAAAATATCTATTTGAAAGAATACTACACAATATGTTTGATTCTGTGAATACTTAATTTATTAAACTACATACGTAGGTGTATTTGGATCCGGAAAAAGCTTATTGCTGGCTATTGTTATTTTATTCCTGACACAAATATTTGAAATCCATGAAGCAGCTAATGACAAACGGTCAGTGCCATGGAAAATATTGGTTTCTTCTTCCACCAATGTTGCTGTAGACAGAATACTATTGAGGTTAGTAATTTAGAAATCATGCTTAAATTGTTTCCATAAAATTTGTGGTTTTTTTACAATAATACTGTATGTGCATACAATTTAATCTTGATATACTCTTCTGTTTTTGCAAACTAATCAAATGCAGCCTTTTGTTTTTCTTCTGGGTAGCATCCTAAAATGTTACCGGAGTTTCTTTGGAAACTTGCAATTCTATGAAAACCTATGAAAATTTGAACCAAATTCTGCTTCAAGAGCAATTTTCTGAGTCTCCTCTCATAACTACCCTGCCACATAGTGACAAAAAGATTAATGTAGCAAATTTCTACCCAAATCCCTCCAATTCACAGTCTCTTCATAGACTAAAATGAGCATTAATATATCTTTGTCTCTGAAGCATTCACTGGAAAGATTTACCCCTCAAATGGAGAAAAACTCTTTATATATGTTCCTTCACCCTCCTGAGGCAGTTTGGTGTAGTGGTTAAGGCATCAGACTAAAAACCAAGAGACTATGAGTTCTAGTCCTGCTTCAGGCACACCGACAGTTAGAAGACCTTGAGCTGGTTATTCTGTCTCAAGTCTCAAGAAGGAGTCAATGGTAAACTACTTCCAAAATCTTGTAAAGAAAACTGCAGGACAATTGCCAATAATCAACACTGACTCAAAGGTGTGTGTATATGTGCGCGCGCGCGTGCACACACACACACACACACAAAAGGCCCACCTCTTAAGCCCTTGTAATTTGTTAAGGATATCCCAGTATGATAGCTTCAGATTTGCACATGAAAAGTGATGCAGTTTAATGACCATGAAAAATATAAATGAAAGGATCAATATTTCTTTTAAGGTATTTCAAATAATGAATTATTGTTTATTTCAGTCTACTAGACATTGGATTTGAAGACTTCATTAGAGTGGGAAGCATTAAAAAAATTGCAAAGCCAATACTTCCTTACAGGTAAATTGCTGAAAATGTTTAGCCAGGTCCAAAAGTCACTTGTGAGTCTACAAGGAGCCTTTGATCAAGCATTTGTGTAGAGCAAGGGTCTTCAAAGCTGGCAAGTTTAAGACTTGGGGACTTTGACTCCGGAATTCCTGAGCTAAAATGACTGAGGAGGAGGAGGAATTCTGGGAGTTGAAGTCCACGAGTCTTAAAGCTGTCAAGTTTGAAGACCCTTGGTGTAGAGGCACAAGCATAAGCTAGTGTTTTCATGAAAGAGCCATATAAGCAGCTGTCACAGTTGTGTGACTTTTTTTAAACTACAAGAAGCTAAGTGGAAATTCAAATAATTTTTAGCAACTTATACAATTAGAATAATTATTCCTTTATTGCTTTCATCATAAAATATTTTTCTAGTTTCATTTACCATTAATCCCTATCCTCCAAAGACAACATGGAATAAATGAACACTGGGCATTCTGACAGTAGCTTTTATTAAAGGATGTAAGCCATTTAAGTATTGGAAAGTATGGGACATAAATTATCAAAATAAGCACTTGAAATGGATTCTTAATGAGGTTGAAGTGTGGAGTACTTCTATATTATTGTGTTACAGGACATTTTATTTTTCAGATCTTTTTAAAAAGTCACATGAATCTTTCTATGATTTTATTGTTAACTGTATTCTGCTGTTTGGTCATTTAAAAAAAAATTATTTTGTTTTGATGTCTATAAGATGTCTATGGAAGAAACTGGTGTAAAATGTTTGTTTTAAAAAAAATATATGAGCTGCTTAGAACCATGTGTTTGAGATAGTTAGCCCAATAAATCTAATAATAAATTCTTGCTGGCTACTACTTGTGCAAAATGTTTGAATACACTCATATATGAACAAGTAAATTGTAACGTGGGTCACTGCTTATAATTATTTGGGTATAAATATAATTTTTTACACAAGGCTCATTCAGACTAGATAATCCCTTTTGTTCTTTATTCCGTAAACAACATGCTATGCTACCTTTTGTGACATGGGTGACTGGGATCTTCCCTTAGATATCAGCTTCTACCTAAAGTAGAAGCAGCAGTCTTTTGTGCAGAGGGATCTTTTTATAAATAGAGTGTTCTAGTCAGTATTATTCCGTACAATGGTTGGAATCCCTACCACTGTATAACGGAGTTATGTTACTTGTCCCAGCTTCTGCCAATCTAGCAGTTCGAAAGCATGTAAAAATGCAAGTAGAAAAATAGGAACCACTTTGGTGGGAAGGTAACAGCATTCCGTGTGCCTTCGGCATTTAGTCATGCTGGCTACATGACCACGGAGACGTCTTTGGACAGTGCTGGCTCTTTGGCTTTGTAATGGAGATGAGCACCGCCCCCTAAAGCCAGAAACAACTATCACGTATTATGTACGAGGGGAACCTTTACTTTTACCTATACAATATGTTAAAGCTTGCATGCTGACTTGAGATCTGAAAATGAGCAGCTGAAAGAATTACTTGCCTTGATGAAGGAGGATTTGAGCCCAGTGGAAAAAATGTATGTGAAGAAGACTATTGAACAACATAAACTGGGCACCAATAAAGCTTCCCTGAGAAAGGTAATGATGAAGTGTATTTGCGTGTACCAGTATGTAGCATAGATTTTTTAAAATTATTGTTACAGTATGTTTAGATGCTCCGGTTAAGTAATACAATGTGGCATAACAAAAATCATAAAAGAATCAACAGGAAGCCATCTTGAGTAAAGCCAATGGAACCCGTTTTAAACTACGAGTTGGACATTGGGAAGGGGGTTCCTCAGGTATTCTTTGAATAGCCAAGAATATCTCAGTGTCATAGCCGCTGATTTATAAACGAACATGTCCGTTTGTAAAGTCATGCAGCTTAAAGATTATGACAATTTAAAAATAAAAGGACCAATATTTATTTCAATATATTTCAAATATATTTGTAATGAGTTTGTCAAATGACAATTTTTTGTGTAGTTATTGCCTGAAATCTGGACAAACTCATTTCCGGAAAAATTTGACTATTAAATTCAAAATCCACCAAACTACTGCCCCTTAAATCTGTTCTGACCATGGCTTCTTGACACCATAATTAAGCACACGCTTAGTCCAAACAACTCTCTTTTTATTTCAACACTGGGAATTATGTTCATTTCCAGCCCGTAATGGATACCAGTCTTTTGAGAGAAGCACCCACTTTTACCTCCTTTGAATTGCTGCCAACAACTAAAGTGCCAAATTAACTGTAAAAAAGTCAAACAAAGTACAAAGTGTACACAGAGCTTCAAGGTTTAATACGAATAGAGCGAACAACATTGCTTCCTGCAAAGGTTCCTATCCCTTTGCATTTTCTTTATATCTTAGGGGAGGGGCAATCATCTCCAAGCCTTACTCCCAAGTTGCCCCTTTTGTCTTAACTGCTCTTGCCTTCTGGCAGCTCTGCGCACATGCGCACTGGGAACAGGCTTCCCTTGTTCCTCTGCCTCACTGCTGCCAAATTCTGGAGCCTCCGGAGTCAGCACATAATTAAATCAAGCATTTATTATAATTATGAAAAAGACTGGGCTATAAAGTTATCCATCATTTTTATTGAAATACGTTAGTGGACCCTGGCATCAGATGAATAAATTGAACATTCAGTTACTTGTATTTTTAGTCCTTGCATGTTTTACTAATTTTTTAAAGCAAACTTCAAACATAGGGGTAATAAAATCAGCATCATGGGATCATGTTTGCTCATCCGGCTTCATGATAAATTTGATTGTTTTTTTTAGTCGCATCATTTCTGAGTATAAATGCATTCAATTACCAAACAAAGATATTGAATTTTGATTGTACAACTTGTGGTTCATTAATTGTACAGGTATACAGATGGCTTTATTTTTCCTCTATTGATACAGGTGAAGGTAGTGGGATCTACCTGTGCTGCCTGCTCATTTCCATGCTTGAAAAGTCTTAAGTTTCCTATAGTGATTCTAGATGAGTGTAGTCAAATGACAGAACCATCTTCTCTGCTTCCTATTGCAAGGTATGGCATCAGTTTACTTTATTATTACACTCCTTGACTTATAACCAGCCAATTAGCAATTGTTCGAACTTACAATAGACTTCCCCCAAACAACATATAATCCAGACTTAACATTTCAATGAACACCCCCGTCACATGATCATATTTTGGGCAGTCAGCAATCACCCTGCATTTAAGGCTGTTTGCAGTATTCCATGGTCACATGATCATGATATACAGGGTTTTTTTTTCAGTTTCTGACAAAATTTGGCAAAATCCAGACAATGGATTCACTTAAGAACAGTCACATTCACTTAATGATAGCCACATTTGCTTAATGACTGCTATAGAAAAGGTTGCAAAATCGGGTGCGGTCCCATAGTGACCCACTTAACAATCAGCATGACTGATGAGATGTAATTCAAGACTCAATTATGGTCATAAATTCAGGACTACCATTAAATTCAGGTGTACTGATTGTTTTAACATATGGTGTAAGTTGCTTTAAGTTTAAGATGTAAGCAAGAAACAGCAACTCAATGACTAGCCTTGTAACTAAATTCTCAAAATCGAGTGGGGAATTGTGATGGCTTCGCTGACAGCAACAATGGCTGTATGAAGCTGGTCTCCGTTTTTTATAAAGTTTTAAATACAATATATTACGTAGAAAACTAAAGGTGAAATAGTGAGATGTTCAAGTATGGTGAAGATAGCCAATATAGATGAAGGTGAGAAACTCTTACAGTTCCAAAACTGGGCCTTAGCAAGGTATTATTTATCTTCAAGAAACTGGAAGTATTTTTTCAAAGATTCTTGTTGAATCAGTTTGCTGTTAGCTGCTAGGTCAGGCAAATCCAGAGGAATGGCTATTTTTATTTCCCAAAAACATCTGATTTAGGTAGACTAGCCCTTTATGCACCCCAAGATTCAGTATGTGATTCTTAAGGATATAATACACCAGACACCTTACACTGGGTCAGTTTCAAGAAACATTTTTAATGCAACATCTTAATATTATCCAAGGAATTAAGAGAGAGTAAATACTGGCCAGGCATTAGAGCTGAGTTCAGATTGAAAGCAAATTTAAATAGGGAAATGCTATAAACAATACAAAAGTTACAGTATATATTTGTTTTAAAAGACACATTTATTGAGAACAGGTAATCAATAAAGATTATACATTCTGTTGGCAAAATGTTAAATATTTAATATTAAATATTTAAAGATGGGTAATATTTTAATTGTCAACTCTTTTTATTTGGGCTTCTGTATTAACAATTTCATACCATGCTCCAAGTTTTAATGAACTTTCTGATGTGGAATAAATTTAAAGATAATTAACTGTTTTTAGCACAGAGGTCTGAAGCCTAATAAGTTTAAACTGTATAGCAAGTAAACAGACATAAAGAAGTTTCAGCTCTGTATTATTACCAGTTATAATTTATAAGGAAGTTGGTCAGGCAATTTATTTTGTCTTTAGACTTTTTTTGCCTAACATGGTTTATATGATATATGGTTGCCTTTTACTGAAAGTAAATTTCCCATTTTTTAAGTTTAATGTGTGATGGGCAGAAATATGTTTCCATTTATAGTTTTGAATGTGAAAAGCTGATTCTTGTTGGAGATCCTAAGCAGCTGCCACCTACCATTCAAGGATCTGAAAGTGCACATGACAATGGTTTGGAACAAACTCTCTTTGATCGACTCTGTTTGATGGTACCTACTTCTAATATCTAGAGATAGAGACTTGTTTTTTAAACTTTAAAAATACCTAGAGCCTAGAAAGTGAATCAAAATCTTATACAGCAAAATGTTGCTTTCTTAATGTTAAATGCCCTGCTTTCTTATGAAAATATGTAGTACACATACTCAGTAGATATTCCTGCTCTGCATAATACATGACACATAGAATACAGATCAGATGCACAAATAGGCATTCATATACAAGATTATCAAAAGGACTAGTTATCTAAAATTTAAAATAAGATATACTATTTGTAGATAAGATGAAACTATTATGGTTTTTTTCCTTGAAGGGTGGCTTTTGCAATTTTTTCCTTTATTAAAATAAAAAATACATTCCAAATGTTGCTGATTAATAATCTGACAAGACACTTGCTGCAAGGAAAATATTCTAAAATTACAAATAAAAAGATAATATGTAAATATATTTAGAAAAGAAAAACAAAAGTATGTGACCAAATTGCCTTACTTCTTTTGGGGGGGAAAAAAAAACAGTTTAAACATCATAAAGAACAACAATCCACTTCACTTTGCAGGTAGATTTAGCCTTCTGAGTGCATAAAAAAAATGACCTCAGTTCTCCATAGCTATGGATAAAGGGTTTATAACTCCTTAACAGATAACAGATAATAACAGATAATCAGAGTTGGAAGAGACCTTGTAGGTCATCACAAATTAATAATTTGGTAGTAGATAAGGGTCAAAGGAATTGTGGGGGGGGGGCAGAAATGCAGGACTCTAAAGTGGTGATGTGTTTAATTTCACCCCCTCTCAGCTCTGCCTGCTATTTTCCTACATTATACTGTATAATTATATTGATATTTAACAGTGTTTTCCATTATTTTTGCTCTCTTTCTTTTCCCCCTTGCTATAATCACAGGGGTATGCACCTATATTACTCAGAACACAGTATCGTTGTCATCCTGTTATTGCTGCTATAACCAATGAGCTATTTTATGAAGGAATTCTATTGAATGGAATTTCTGAAATAGATCGAAGTCATCTCTTGGATTGGCTACCAACACTGTGTTTTTATAATGTTAATGGATCAGAACAAGTAAGTATTGCATTAATTGAAGATAATGGTTTAGAATTAAGAACTTGTGGTTTTCATGTTCTTTTATAAACCAAATTGTTTAGGACAGAAATTGTAGAAGATATATCCTTGAAGTAACTGTATCCTGAGCATAACATATCCATGGATCTTCTCCATTTCATACACTTATGACTAAAATAGTTAATCCGTACAAATGAACTTCTTCCTAGAACGCGTACTTCTCTGTCTCATTTGATGGAGCATTCCAGTAGCAGCCCTATGATAAATGTAACTTGATAAAGTCTTAAATTAATAGTACTACATTTCATTATGCTATCAAACTAATTACTGTATCACTGACTTTTTTTCCATTATATAACTCAAAATCTGTTTTCCAGATTGAAACAGACAACAGTTTCTACAATATGGCAGAATCGTTTTTCATTGTCAAATTAATACAATCTCTGGTTGCCAGTGGAATAGATGGATCTATGATTGGCGTAATAACTCTCTACAAATCCCAAATGAGCAAGGTATGTTTTAGTCACCAAAACAATTCCAATGTAGTATTTTTTTCAAACAAAAAATATCATTAATTTGATTTTTTACAAACAAAAGACCCTCAGCTTCATTATGCTTTAGTTTAAACTAATTGGGAATTTTTCAGAGATAATTCTATTTAAAATACGCTATAAATTAAAACCCAAAAGTTTATAGTTCAGTAAGGGTCTGGCTTGCCTCAATTTTGAATGTACTACTTCTCCCATAACCATAAAATTTTTCATTAATATTTGTTTTATGAATCCTTTTTTTAATTCAACCTGCTCCGATGGTAGATGTTTTAAGATCATATTTCATTATCCATAATTTTATTTTATTCAATCTTATACAAAGCTGTAGTCTCTCATAGATTTCATCTGTTTCTGTTTGCAGATCCGTAATTTGTTTGGTGCTATACACATGGATGCTGCCCAAATAAAGACTGTCCAGGTGTCTACAGTAGATGCTTTTCAGGGAGCAGAGAAAGAAATAATTATTTTATCTTGTGTAAGGACAAGACAAGTTGGCTTCATAGATTCAGAAAAGAGAGTGAATGTGGCTCTGACTAGAGGAAAGAGACATCTATTGATAGTAGGAAATCTAAACTGTTTAAGAAAGAACAAATTATGGGGAAGCGTTATTCAGCATTGCACAGGTAAAATAAGATATTTTAAAATATAACTTACTCATGTATTTATTCATTATACTTATAGTCTTCCTGTTCTTTGAAATGCAAGAAAGGGAAGAAGCACCCCAATATTATTTTTACAAGAGTAATTTGTCGACATAATCTGATCAGAGAGGGAATGGCTGGGCTACAATTTGTTTTTAAAAGTTTTTTGATCCACCAGAGACTTACCCAAGCTCTCTCGGCTCAAGGTGATACCTTTACAACAGTGGTCCCCAACCTTTCCAGCTTGGCAGACTGGGGGGGGGGGGGAGAGTGGGGAGACGGGATCGTTCCACGCAAGCAAGCGGTGCATACATGGGCACATGCAACTCCATATAGAGCTGTGCGCATGCACACTTTCCCACCACTTGTGAAGCCCGGGGGATTGGGGAGCCCTGCTTTACAACTTTAAATTGTCTCTCTTTAAAGTCATCACTGTATCAAGCAGATCTATCATGTACAAAGGCCAGAGTGTTTAAAGTTTAATTGCTAATATGTAAATATCCTATTCTGCTATTTATAGGGAGAAAAAATGGATTTCAGCATGCTAACCAATGTGAACAACAACTGAATGATATTGTTAAATCTTATTTCAAGAGAAAGATGGAAGAAGAAGCCATCATGAAAAAGAAGAAATCTAAAAATGAATCACTTTCTCAAAAAACAAACACATAAATACACTGAATTATATCAACAATTTCATCTTGAAAATCAAAAATTTCAGTTTTTATATTTTTAAGTGCCTCCAGTAATACTGTTACATACATTAATGGTTTTTTAAAAAGTTTAAATATAATAAATAACTTTATAACAATGTAATTTCTAATGAAAGCTAACTTATTAGGAACTGTACATTTCATGACAACAAACTTGCTTCATGCACAGCTGTTTTAATTCTTGAACTGTTCTCTAAATACCATGGTATTAAATAAACTCCTATTTAAAATATTTCACGTGGATTTTTCAATAGGGTACAAATTTATTCATAAATAATGGATTACGGTTTTCACTATTACAATAGATACCTACTTTCTGCAATCATTTGTGTAGGATCGTTGGGAAGAAAGTCTACACTTGCTTTTTTTCTCTCTTACAATTATATCACTTGGCATCACTGTGTTGGAAGGGACTCTCTTACCTACCCATTCTAGCTCCCTAACTTCAAGCAGGAATTAAAACTAAGCATCTCTTACAAATAGCTATAGCTAACTTAGAACACATGCACAGGATGAGTACCCACTAATTCTCTAAGTGATTGATTTCACTGTTAAACCTCATTTTCTTTTAGTAAATATTTTCAGTAGTCTGCCTTTGTAACTTAAATTCACTATTTCATGGCTTCGCCTTTTATCTAATAACCTGTCATATATTTCAATGCCATCATATCTCCTCCAGTTTTCTTTTCTGAACACTTACTGTAACAAATCCTTTACATTTCTGTACTTCTGACTTAATGTAAAGATCCCTGATCATGTTTGTTCCATCTTTGAAGTGTACTGTCAGAACAAGACATGATATTCAAGGTGTGTGTCTGAGCAATACATAAGGCCCAATAAAGTGTCATTATAATTCTTGGCATTTGTTGGTAACTGCTAAGTTATAAACCAAACCAAGGAGTGGGGGCAGGGGTGGGAGGGAATGGAAAGTATGTTTTCATTTGAGAAAAATTTTCCACCTGGCTTGGCTTTTCTTTGCATGAGTTCTCTATTTCACAGTCTTAGGCGAGTTTCTCTTTATGTTAACATCCTAAACCTCAGGATAAGTATCACTGCTTATAAAAGAAAGGCATAAATCATTGCTTTAGAGGCCACCTTATATTTCACATCCTATTAATATAAATTTTACATACTATACCTTCTATAATTATTTTGAAATATATTACATATTTTTAAAAATTAATAAAATATATCACAGGATATATTTTTGAATACCAATATTCACCTTGATCCTGCAACATTCACTTTATCAAGGATGCCATCTTTGGGATTTTAGGAGGCAATAAAATCAAAGTTATTTTAATAAGCATTCTTAAACTAATGTTAACCTATTTCATACTCCTAAGAAATCATGATAAATTATAATACCCCGAAGACCTAATAACAATTTTTGCTGATAATGGTACATAAAATACAGTTTTATTCAGCTTACAAAAACTAACAGCACAGAAGATGTAGTTGCATGATCAGTTGAACATATATTCTCATTTTTTGTTCAATTTATATTTTAGAAAGTGGATATCCAAATGTATTGAAGTTAATGGTGTTGAATAGAAAGAATTTAATTTTCTAATAGAAATTAGCCCTCCGTTGCTTAGCTAGGTATTTTAATATATCACAATGCTATTCTAATTGTTTAAAATAACACATTATCAGCTTTCTCAAAGTATTGTATGGAAAATATTTACAGATTTAAAATATTGCATCATAGAAATACAAATTTCGTTTTTTGCAGTTAAGATTCTAGCCGAAATAAAAATTGTCCGTTAGGTGGTGCCAGTGTACTCTCTGCTTTTCATTTCACAGCACGAAGGTAGCAAGCAAAGGTCATCTATTTTTTTCTTTGAAATAATGACAATTTGCATAATCTCACATGAATTAAGATAATTATTCAAATGTGATGCAAAATTCTTACCAATAGACTTTGAAGTTCTCTTCAGCCAAACGAAAATTGCACCCTAAACTCTGAAAGCTATCTACATTTCAAAAGTGAAGGCGAGATTCACTATCATATTTTGGTTATTTCTTAAAAAGGTTTTCTTTTAGCTCAAGCTGTCACTAAGCCCATTAATACACAAAGTGTGGAAGAAATAGTCAAGAGCTGAATAGCATCTTTTAAATTACTGGTGACACCCCTGTTCCAGCTCCCTAAAATCTCAATCAACAATCCATTAGAACGCAACAGGAGTAAAACTAAATCCTCGTTTAAGTGTATTTATCCAATCTCTTTTCTCTCTTTCAAATGCTAAATCCATTTCAGCATATGCCCCTTCTTTCTCTCGCCTTTCTCTAAAGGCTGGCAGCCTATACTTCTCTTGTAAATATGAAAGATGCTAATCATATGACATATCACGTCTCAGTCGGAGCTTGGAATAAAGCCTTGAGATTTGGGATCATTGCCTCTAGACAACAGCTTCATCAGCCGGAAAGTTGGGTTTTTTTTCTCCTTTCCTTCAACTCTCAATCCCTTCTTTGTCTAAGAAAAAACGCAGCCAACTCAAGCTACCCTGGCCATATGGTTCACTCTGTATTTTCTTATTTGAATTCTGAATTGTTTCTGCGACTTGCTAAGAGGATTTTTTTTTTCCTCCACTGAAAGTGCATAATATAAAGACATAGTCCTGCTATTTTGAGTTAGGGTGTCTTTCAACGCTACCGCTGCATGAGCTCCCTATGTTGATTAAAATCAATGCACTTTTCATTGATTTTATTTAAACTACTTCCTACTCCTGAATGAATTCCATCCTGCTGAACTCCTAAGTATTCTAGAATTAGAATTCCTTGACTTCCAACATTTGGAAATTGAATAAACAAATAACAAAATAAAACTTGGTAATTTTGTGCTGTACTTTGAAGCAGAGAGTTTATTTTAATAGGGATCTGTCAGATTTCTTTTTACCCCCCCCCCCGTCTCTTCTACAGATATGTGTTTGTCTATATCTACTCCTTCTCTTGCCCCCTCCTTCCTCAGGACCCTTTCAACGAATCATTAAATTCTACAGAGGTGGCCAAGCCAGGCCCGCTTTTCATGCGTTTGGGAAAAGAAAGGAGTTCTTGAAGTTTAGAAGATACCCAAGGAAAACTCCTTCAATGACATCAAAAGAATGGGTTTCCATAGCTGTTGAAGCACGAGAGCCATGTAAACTGCACAAAGGCGGGTTGGGGCAGTGGGACTGTCCCGCTGCTCTATCCCAGCACAATTGGGTCACTGAAATAGGGAATTAATTACCATTGGAGAGTGGGCAACCCATTCACCACTGCCTGAGTTTTATTAAACGCCAATATAAATAACAAAACAACTCTTGTGGCTGCACTATTCCAACACGCCAAAGGAAGGATTAGCTTGGGGATTAACATCTTAAAGTCTATGAGACTTTCTGACTCAAGGCTCAGAGCTGGTAATCGTATTTGTCTCCTGGTTCAGCGATTAGTGCTCCCTTACTCCAACCTTCGCCTGCTACCCAGTGTCCCTTTTTGCAGGCTTCTCTTTTTGGGTGTCCATTCCGTCTCTGCTCACAATCGGCTGTTCTTTTAGCCAGGGACAGTGGGGGGAGAGAAGAAAGAAGAATTGCATCTCAACCAGGCAATCTTCAAGGTTCTGGGAAAATGGAGGAGAAGAGCTTATGGGCTCCCGAGGCTGGGGCGGAGAGAGTCTAACCGCCCTAAAAGGAGGAGGGAGAGAGGGAGGGAGGAACAGCCTGAAGTTTAAAAATCACTGTTGAAGCCTGCACCTGCCATGCAAATGAGGCAGACAAAACAATCAGAGCACCCTCACAAAGAGGGAGAGTTGGAGAGAAAGAATAATTACAAGCAAGGGATGCCTCCAGGCTACATGGGTATAGGCATCTTCTGATGAGACCCCTAAAGGGCACCCATCTGTCAAACCAAAGGAAGTACAAGGAAATTGTTGTGCCCTTTGGAGCCCCGTATAAACAAGATCAATTTCTTCACCTAGTGTTCTTGCACTACTCTCTTCAGAGTTTCTGAGTGCCACATCTTAACAATAACAATAAATAATACACCATTACAAACTGAAGTTTGTCCCTGTCCTACTGTCCCCATTTATTCATACCTATTTCCTGTATTCATACTCAAGTTTACTCTTATACCTATTCTCTTGTAAGCGATTGACAAATCAAATAAATAAAAAATAAATAAGTTTACCATTAAAGTGATATCCAAGAACAGTTATGGTGATAGATAACTTATAAAAGTCAAAAACCTTTATTTAGTTCTTTCTGGCCTGTTTGACTAAGCCTAACAGGTTGAAGAAAGGGGGAGGGGAGAGAGACTGATAATTAAGAGTCTCTTAAGCTTTCTTTCTTTAAATAGATTAAATTTGCATTGCATCAGGTACAATGCCATGTAAGACTGTGTCACTTGGTGCAATGGAAATAGCTAAGGCATATCTGTACACTTCTTGATGATCCAGAGGGCATAGACTACAGTTTTTGTGACAGTAATTCACACTTCTGAATTGTTTTTATTAGCACCAAGCAAATTAACCTTATCTTGCATTTTTTAAATAGTTCTCATTTAACTTGAAGACATTTTTATTCAACATAATTTTTTAAGAAATTATCATGGGTGGACTATGATATTCTTAGTTATTCTCTTATTTAGTTAGCAGTGCTCAAGGGATATGTGTGAACATCTTAGCTTTCATTGCATGCTATTGTTTCCAGTGACTCCCCAAATTTCAATCCTGTTCAAAGGAAAAAACTTGGAGAGAACCGCCATTTGTTCCTTTACGAGGCAGTTCAATTTTCTGTGGCAGTTTAATTTTCTTCATAGTTTATGAATCAGAACTTTGTGAAATTGTTGCAAAATGTAATCTTCCACTGGAGAAATTTAACTACTTTAATTTAGCTTCATTTTAATTAATTATAGAGTGAGCAGGTTGGAATTCACACTAAACCACAATCAAAGAAACTACATCATAGTATATAATATGATCTGGAAATCAACTTCTCTACAGTTCAGGCCCTCTAAGTAAAATTAAATTTCTTTGCTTGGTGAACATGGGTTAGATAGGAACCTGCACAGATTCTGTCAGGGGTTGCTTGTTGTCACAAATGCCTCGGAGACTGGAGTACACAGGAAAGCAGATCCTACCTTGAAGAC